TTTCCTCCCCTTTGGAAAAGTGGATATGCCATTACCAAGGAAGAAAACTCATATTTCACCAATGAACAAGTAGACCAAATCAGCAGTGTCAGGCAGTATTGCTTGCTCCACTTGAAGGTTTTATCATGGATTTGCATTGCTGCAGGGCTTTAACATTTCACAGTTTTCAAACTTACTTACACTATGCTTCTGGCAGATGGACGGTTTTGATCTATAAGCTGCTATGATTTAGAATGCTTTTTGTTTCATTTGATTAAAAAAGCACAAGTTAATATTTTATCAATCGTAGTTATTATGAAGCACTTCTGCTTCTTAAATTACGAAGCGCACGATGCACGTGAAACATTTGTCATCTCTGGATATTTCCAAGCATTAAGCAATGGGGTGGGGTGGGGGGAGGCGGGCGTCCTAAGCTGAACTGGGGGGGACTAACGCACTTTCCAAGGAACCTCAGTCTTGGGATTCCACAGCTGAGCCATTCTTCAAGTGATTCTGATTTGCTTGTGGCTACAAATTATAGTAGCAAGTTAAAGGTTGAAGTGTAGAAGGCTAAAAACAGCCAAATATGTGGCATTTGTTGCGAGAATTTTTGAAAGGTACAGACTCACAGAAAAAAAAAAAAGGCCATTATTAGGGGATGGATAAAACTGGAGATACAAATGGGTGTTTAAAAAAAAAAAAACACACCACACCTAAGTTGAATTAAGAGAGAATTGGAAATAAATAGCAACATTTCCTACTGGAACTGTGGATCTGAGAACTGTCCTGGAGGAGCTTGACAACAAAGGGATCCCATAAATGGGCAGAAGGAATAGTCGCATGTTTCTGAGCTTAATTCGAGTTCTTCTGTAAATATGCTATATTCAACAGAGCATTTGATTTCTAAGCTTTCCTTCAGGTACATAACTTGGGAGCAGTATGCCTGATTTTTTGGAGAAGCAAAGTCCTACCAGTGGTTAGAAGTAGCGATGTTGGTAGCTGTCTAAGTAAGAAGTATTTAGAGAAAGTTCACCAGGAATTGAGAATTATCTAGCGACAGAAAATTCCCAAAACTCCCTGAATGTGTATGGCAGATAACTTCTTGATCCTAAAGACAAAATATCCTGAATCTGCGCCTTTCTAGCTGGAAGAGGACTTGTAAAGTAGTATTAAAATGATACTGCTTTGCTTAAACGAGTACGGCTTGGCTCAGTTCAGCATAGTGTCGCAGGTTCTTGGCACTGAAGGTGGGCGAGGATTGGGGACTTCACAGTTGGTGATAATCCTGGTCACAAATAAATTAATTGATTAGGAGATGAAAGATGCAAGGATTCAACTGAGACGAGGGGGAAAGAGGGTGCTCGTCCTTGGTTGCTGCCCAGATCCTGGGAAGGGGCTCAAGTAAAATTTTATTTGGCGTAGAGGGTGAGGAAGAGGGCTTTTAAACCTGAGCTTCCTTGGGTCAGAGCTGTTTTGTCTGAATCCACAGCAGAAAGTCAAGGCCCAATGTTTCAGTGGCTGAGAGGGTGCCAACAGCTCGGGCTGGTGGGAAAGCCTCATATTCCATAGCTGGAACCCAGCCGAGGAAGCACTCCGGTTGGGAGATCAGTGATCCAGCATGGGGAAAAGGCTGATGAGGGTGACGATCTACCTCTGGAGTAGTAAGCTAACCAGTACTGACTGCTTCTGTTGTGATGATGCTGACAGCAGAGGAAGGAGGGATGCAGGTGATGCCCAAACAAGTTCCAGCTGAAGCTCCAGTTCCAGCAAGCTCAGTGCAGGGGTGCTATCTGCAGAGCACTGTGGAGAGAGGCACAGGGTGCCAGGGAGGCCACTAGCAAGGCAGCAGTGCGGGCATGGGGCAGCCTCATTCCAGGAAAATAGTGATGTTCCTCCAAAAAACGGGGAGAGCAGGGCATATTCAGTAATTGGGGGTGGGAGCCATGACATTTCCTTGTTGGTGTTGGGAGTTACATTCAAAGCTAAAGAAAATAGCAGGTGGAGAGGGAGAGTAGCCACCACGCTGCACCTGCAGCAGAGCCCATGCTGCGGGAGGTTACGTGGAGTGAGGTAGCCCGGGAACGCGAGGACAACCCCAGAGCCCTGTAGGAGCTGTCATCCCAGGTCTGGGGTGCAGCCTGCGGGCTGGCAGAACACAAGCGGGTGTCAGCGGCTGTGTATGAGAGGAGCAGTGCTGGGCGGCGCATGTATCCTTGTTTTCTTCGGGAAGCCATAAAAACATGCTCGAGGGATGGAAGGAGGGAGAAAGCACCTCATATTCACAACGGCAGGGAGGGCTCAGCTTCCAGCTTCACCACTCGGGCAGTAATGTCACAATTTTACCAGTCACTGCCAGCCCCCTGCTGCCGTGGGCGGCCTTCTTAAAGCATTAAAGTGTAATCACTGCTGCCCTTGCCTGGGGAACGGCAGGGCGTTGGGTATGGGATGCACATGTGGAGGATGAAGGTGGGATGGAAATGGATTTCTTATTGGAGCTCACTACCTGCCTCCTGTCCTGCCCCTGAGCTCCTGAAGGGCCGTGGCTCCCCTCTTGCAGAAGGCAGCACGCTCTGGTTTCTGACAAGATGGAGCACTGCTCTCAAATGACACATGCCACCATTTTCTCTGGTAGGAGGTATTTCCAGGCCTCGTTTAAATGTGCGCTGTTGTCCGGGATATAGGGCGTGACCCGCAGTTTGGGACTGAAGCTGGTGAACAAGAGAGACCAAGCCAGAATGGGCATAGGAGAGAGCAATTTAAAAGTAGCAAAGCCCACGTAATTGTTAATTGGTGGGCTAATGATTAAACTAATGGGCTAAAGCACTAACTCCTTAAATTCAAAGAGCTGGAGTATGCTTGAAAGGATCCCACCCAAAGCCAAGGCGTACGCCCCAGCCATTGCCAGAGTCCATGGGAACACTGGAATGTGATATGAAAGAGTTGACTGTGAAGTACATGCAAAAACTTAAAATGTTGGAAGTGGCAGAAAGGACACCACAAGAGAAAACTGAGAAAATAAGTAGTGTTAAGATGCGTCCAGTAACAGGTGGCTGGGCTATCATTTATGTTAGCCTTCTGGGCACAGAGAAGGATGGACGGGAATAAAGAGTATTTTCAGTCCTTTCCTCCTCTGTGCTTCTCAGCACCAAACCAGTGGGAAACTAAGTAGTCGTGAAATCATAGAATGGTTTGGGTTGGAAGGGATCTTAAAGATAATCTAGTTCCAACCCCTCTGCTGTGGACAGGGACACCTTCCCCTGGATCAGGTTGCTCAAAGCCTCATCCAACCTGGCGTTGAACACCTCCAGGGATGGAGCACCCACAACTTCCCTGGGCTTTGAGGAAACTGGACTTCTCTTGTGGCAGTGGTCAAGCATCTTTATCTTTCAATGCCATATGCAAAGTGCAACGTGCAGTTTATGTCCTGGCTGCTGCTGGAATTTTAATCTTTTCAATTTTAAGATATGGAAAGTTTAGGGTTTTGAGGTGGTTGGGTTTTTTTTTCCAGTACATCATTGCCAATGGGCTGTCCCACAGGCTGACTGACCTTTGCAGCAGTAACTTGAAGGACTGTTTCAGAGCATGGAGAAGGC